GTTCCGCCCCATAGCGAACCCTAGCATTTCGATTGTCGCTGCTGCCCCGATCTCCGCTCCTTCACGCGTCCGTGCGCGTCGTCGATTGCGGCGGAGAAAACGCGACTTTGCTGCGTTGTCTTCGCTGCGTTGTCGACGACTCCACTGGCGCTCGCTCGCCCGTGCTCGTCTCCTCTGCGATCGTCGTTCCTTCGCGCCCAGCAATGGCGCTGCTTCTGCTTCTGCGTTTGTGCCGATCAACGTTTCTTGCTGTAGAAATGGCATCAGGGCGTTCCTACGCCGCCGCCCTCACCAGTGATAACCCCGTCTCCGCCACTCTTTCGAATATATTTCTGCAACGATACCACGACAATTTTTCTGTTGGCACTGAAACTGGATTTCTCAAAAAAACTTCCCGTAAAGATGACAAACCTGCAATCTTTCTCACTGAGGCAGAAATCTCCACCCTAATTGCACCCTGCCGACTGTTCTTAGTTGGTAAGTTTCTTTATGAAAACCCTAAACTTGACTAATTTGAAAGAACTTTGAACAAATGAAGCTGAAAGGGGGTTGGAAGATCGGTAAATTGGATGGTCGCTACATTCTTATTCAATTATCAAATGATGAAGACTACACCCATTTGTTTGCGAGAAGACTTCTTCGAATAGAAAACTAGGTGATGAAGGTTTTAAAATGAATGGTGGATTTTGACCCTCGTACTGAACCTCCTACCATTCCTGTTTGGCTGCGCTTTCCAGGTTTGAAGATCCACCTTTTTGATCAAGAGTTTCTCTTCGCTTTAGCGATGGTGTACGGTAAACCCCTCAAAACTGACACGCCTACAGTGAATCTAACTCGACATTCAGAAGCCAAAATCTTTATAGAAAGGGATATTACTTTACCTTTTTCGGGAGAAATATGGATTGACACATAACATCAGGGATTTTGGCAGCAAGCATAACTTGAATAGATACCACTTTATTGTACCCACTGTCGTATGTTTGGACATTCTCCTTCTCAATGTTATCAGTTGCATCCAAATTTAAAACCTTCAAGTAAAAACACTTCTGGATTTGCCCCACCTCATACATGTCCCTCCTCCGCTCTTGAGTGCATTCCACGGACTATTGAAACACCGGTTGACATGATGCCACCTCCCCCTCCCACTGCCGGAGACAATACTATCTCTGTTCTTCCGACTGATATATTGGCAGATGGTTTTCCCCAGGATGCATCAGGTGTTGAAGAGACATGCTTACCATCTCTCCAGAATCATAATGTTGTTACTGTTAGTCAAGAGCTGGGGGCTCATTCTCTCCTACATGCCCAACAATCCGTTGACCACACCGATCAGATGAGCCAGTCCTCGGATGAGGCAGGATAGTATTGAAGCTCCACATCCCCAGGATGCATCAGGTGTTGAAGAGACATGCTTACTATCTCTTCAGAATCAAAATGTTGTTACTGCTAGTCAGGAGCTGGGGGCTCATTCTCTCATATATGCCCAACAATTTGTTGACCACACCGATCAGATGAGCCAGTCCTCAGATGAGGAATGACAGGTTTACACATCTAGAAAAAAAAAGAATGAAGGCACACTCCAGCTTGGGAACTTAATGGATGATACTCTAGTAACTTTGGGTAATGGAACGACACTCAACAATTTATTAGCTGTCTTCGCTCCTAGAACCAGAGGCAGAGGCAAGACCAAGCTGGCTCGTGCCTAGCAGCTTATTTCATGCAAGTTTTATTTTTTTTTTGTGTTTTATATATGTTTCATCCTTTTACGATGCTAGTGTCGGATGTATCATATGAGTAGGACATCTTTTTTGGGTCCTCTCATACAACTTCTGTGTATCTTTTCAATTTCAATAAAATTAGCCCTTGGGCGTTTAATATATATATATATATATATATATTAAAC